CTACAGACAGTCACAGACGCATTAGGGCTGAGGGCTGTGCTAAGCACTGACACTGAAGCAATGTAAGTGACAAAGGTTTCATGCCTCAAAGAACAGAAGGAGAAGGGATGTGACATAGGCCATCCCACCACCCTCTCCCTCACACCCAGCCCATACACCAGGGTACTCGAAGTCATGGCCCGCAGGACAATTTAATCTGGCCCCCAAATGTGTCCACTCCCCCCATAGCAACTGCCTGGCACGTGGGGCAGTTTTAGATTATTACAGTGAAACACTGCAAGTGCTAGAGATCTGCTCTACTCAATGGCATCCTCTGCGTGGCATCACCTTACACTAGTCATATGTGACTGATCCTGCCCTGTGTCATTCCCAGCTTTCTCCTTGGACAGGTTTCTCCAGTCTGAGAGGTCATGTGCGAAGTGAAGTGGCAGAGAGGGGGTGGGGTGGGAACCTGGAGAGGACAGCGCCTTCTCTGCCAAGGGCCAGTGACTCTGGGATGCTCTTGCAGGGGGCAGAGGCATGAAAAGCCATCTGAAAAGTCTCTAGGGTGCCCCTTACGTTGGTATGATTTTCTGAGGTGTGAGAAGTCTAGAAGGTGTTGTGGTCTATGGCTGCACAGGCTTATCTTTCTACCCAGGTGCTTGTTTGCCCCCCAGCAGCCAGCTCACACAGTCTCTCTCTTTCTCCCCTCCTCCCCGCCACTAGTCCATGTACCCCGTCTCCTCAGAGTGAGGGCAGGGGAGACAGGGCTCAGGAGAGCTCTCAGTGAATGTCTTAGAGACAGCACACAGCGTCTCTCAGAAATTTCACCAGCAGCCAGCACACAGACTGACTCTGTGTGGTACACAGACACACACACACAGTCTCTGGCTCTTTCACACTCATCTCCGAACACATACTTGTTGTATTATTGTTACTTCTTGATACTTCCTATAATGCACATATATTCTCTGCAATTTTATTCTTCCTAAGTGTGTGTGACTTTAGTGTTTTGACTGGTCTATGCAGTTCATGATTTTTATTTCTCTTGCACTTAAATTTAATTAAATTTAATTAGTGAGTTCTCAAATACCTAACGTCTCCTGGCTGGAGTAATTATCCCTATGGTAACTTTTAAAATATACACATTATATCTAGTTTTTTTGTTTCTACTGGTGGCGCACATACCTCGGTGCACATAACAAAATGTATGCTGCAGATGGATGGAAAAAATGAGAGGGAACATTGCTCATAGCCCCAATGCCCTTTCCATTACACAGCTGGGGAAGCTGAGGCATGGTGGAGCTGTAGTGACTCGCTTCTAGAACTGAAGCGAGATCTTCTGAATCTTACTGCACTGTCCTACCCACTAGATAAATGAGACCCCAAAAAACTTCTCCCCACCATGGAGATCTCTCTCGTTCCCTCAGCACCCCTCAAATGAGGCCCCATCATATGTAGGTCAGAGATTACCAATGCATAGAAGAAATAGGAAGTATTTTAAGAGGCTCCCCTGGCTTAACCAGGAGATTTTCAATGACCTGAAGTTCAAAAAAAGAGTCATACAAGAAGTGGAAAGTAGGTCAAATTACAAAATGAGTATTAAAAAACAACATACAAGCATGTACGGAGAAAATTAGAAAGGCCAAGGCAAAAAACAAAACTAAACTAGTAATGTAAAGGGAAAAAAAACTAAGCATTTTACAAATACATGGGAAAGCAGAGGAAAACAAACATAGGCTAGGCCATTAGTGTGTCCAGTTCTGGGCCCCACACTTCAGGAAGTATGTGGACAAATTGGAGAGGGTCAGAGGAGAGCAACAATACTGATTAAATGTCTAGAAAACATGACTTATGAAGAAAGTGAAAAAACTGGGTTTGTTTAGTCTGGAGAAGAGAAGGTGGTGGGGGGGAAACCCCTGATAACACTCCTCCTGGACATAAAAGATTGTTACAGTGGAGGGTGATAAATTGTTCTCCTTATCCACAGAGAACAAGACAAGATGTTATGGACTTCAATTGCAGCAAGGGAAATAGAGGTTAGAGATTAGGAAAAACTTCCAACCTCTGAGGGTAGTTAAGCACTGGAACAAAATTATCTAGGCAGGCTGTGGAATCTCCATCATTGGAGGTTTTTAAGAACAGGTTAGACAGACACCTGTCAAGGATGGACTAGGTAATACTTAGTCCTGTCTCAGTGCAGAGATGATTTCTAAGATTCATAGCTATCAAGGCCAGACAGGCTCATTGTGCCCATCCAGCCTGGCTTCCTGCCTATCCCAGCCAGAAACTCTCCCCCAGTCATTCCTGACTCCGGCCCAGTAACTGCTGGTGGAACAAGAGTGAAGCTTTGAGAGAGAGTCGCCCCATCTCCACTGACAGACTCCCAATGAGGGAGAATCCACCCTGTCCTGAGGGGAGCTCTCCCAGTGGTTTATTCCCCCTCCCAGATAAACACTGGCCCCTAATTCCCAGCTTCAATTTGTCTCTCTTCAGTTCCCAGCCAGTGACTCTCGCTCTGCCTTTACCGTCTACATCAAGAAGCGCTCCGCTAGCAGGTGTGTAAATCAGAAGGAACTGGATTATTATGACTCACCTGAGGAGGGGCTCTCAGGCCCAGAGTCTACCCTGGAGCCCTCGGCATCCCGGATCCAGAGTTCTGCCTCCCCTATCTCGATCCGATAGATTAAGTCCGGTTTGGAACCCAAAGAGCCTGTTTGGGGGGAAAGTTTTATTACTTAAATTTTGGGGGCAGGGACTCATTTATATGTTTGTGCAGCACCTGGCACGACAGGACACGAACTCGCAGGCTGCTTTAGAGGAAAGCGCAAGAGATCCCAAGCAGGAGAGTAATGAAATAAACCTTCCTTAGAGGTTTCAGAGTAGCAGCCGTGTTAGTCTGTATCCGCAAAAAGAACAGGAGTACTTGTGGCACCTTAGGCCTTGGCTACACTTGCGAGTTACAGCGCTGTAAAGCCGCCCCCAGCGCTGTAACTCACTGACCAGCTACACTGGCAAGACACGTACAGCGCTGTATCTCCCTGGGTATACTGCTGCAGTTACTCCACCTCCCCAAGAAGCATAAGAGATACAGCGGAGTGGCTGCGACTCTCCCCTGCGAGTGTGTACCAGGAATCAACCTGCAGCGCTGTACTGATCACCTTGTCAAGTGGCCAATCCTCTCCATTGTTGTGACTGGCTGAAGGAAAATGGAAGTGCTGGTTTCAAAGCTCATACCACAGAGAAAAAGCAAACAGTTTGCTGTTTGCTTTGACTGAGTGAATGAATGAGCAGGGGGCTGGGCGTTTGGAACTTGCAAAATAGAGTGCTCCAAAAAGCACACTCTCTCCCCCCACACTCCCTGTCACACTCCACCCCCCTCTCCCCCCGTTTTGAAAAGCACGTTGCAGCCACATGAATGCTGGGATAGCTGCCCATAATGCACCGCTCCCAACACAGCTGCAAATGTTGCAAGTGTGGCCACGCCACAGCCACTGCGCTGGCAGCTGTCAGTGCCGACAGACTGCAGCGCTTTCCCTACTCAGCTGTAGGGAGACAGGTTTACCTCACAGCGCTGTACAGCTGCAAGTGTAACCAAGGCCTTAGAGACTAAACTTTTTTTTTCCCCTCTTACTTAATTGGCCTCTCAGAGATGGTAAGACAACTCCCACCTTTTCATGCTCTCTGTATGTGTATATATATCTCCTCATTATATGTTCCATTCTATGCATCCGATGAAGTGGGCTGTAGCCCACGAAAGGTTATGCTCAAATAAATTTGTTAGTCTCTAAGGTGCCACAAGTATTCCTGTTCTTCCTTAGAGGAGATTTCGTCCAGTCTCTCACTCGTACTCTGAATCAGCAACGTCTACAACCCCCGTCTCACGTTGCAGTGCAGGCCGAGTTTAAAGCCTTGCTGGGCTAACTCTAGCTGTTCCATAGAAATATCCCATTCTGCAAACACCTTGGCCTCTATGCTATCCTGTGTCACTATGTTCCATAGGACAACTGCGTGACATGGATTTCCTTTAACCCACAGAAACACCAGTGAACACCCATTCGTCTCAGATTAAGAGACAGAGTAAATTATTTCACTTACCCAACTGTCTCCTGAAACATTTCTCATGGGAAAGACTTTGGAAGAAGGGAACGTTGCTCCTTTGCCATCTTATGGCTGTTGAAACGTTTCGGGCATGTCATTAAGGCACATCAGCCACAACGTGTCATGGCAGGTGTCACCAGGCGGCGCCGTTACACAGACATTCCAGTTCTTTTGCATTGCTCAACTGTACAGTTGTTAAATTTACTATGTTCGTTCTTTTGGGGGAGGTGGGGAGCTGTTGCAGCAGCAGCGTTTTTTCCCTGCCTTATTTGTCTAACTAGAGTCAGGTCCTGAGGCAGAGTTGCTGCCCTCAATGTCTGGCTGGGATTCCTGGAAGAGATTGTTAGTCATGGGCTGTTTGCAAACACCACCGATGTGCCCTGACTGAGGTAGGTAATGCAAATAAACAAGTTACACTAAGATTAGCCCCAGGCTCTGTAGCCCTGAGTTCTCCTCCAACAGCGAGCTGACCTGAAAGGGGCTGGCATGTGCCACCACTCAGTGATAGGTGGCACATGGCAACCAAAGCCTCGAGGGAACCCAAATGTTTTACAGCTGTGAATAAATGAAGGGAAATCAGTCCTTACCCAGGGAAACGAGGGCCCAGTAATTCCTCAGCATCTGGTCCCGGTACAGATGCTTCTCTGGCTGGGATAAGAGCTCCCACTCCTCCCGGGTGAAATACAGAGCGATGTCCTCGAACGCCACCTGGAGCTGCTGGCACAAGCGTTACACACTCAGCACCTTCCGCTCCAGCCCCCAGCCCGGAGTCTCAGCAGGGGACGTGGTTTCTAGGGGAGCGACTCCCAGGGACCCCCCGGCCCAGCAGCTGTGACCCAGGGAGACTCCCCTCCACCCCGCACAGCTCCCCCGGGGACTCGGGGCCCTGCTGGCCGGGGACAGGAGTCGCCCTCGGCTCCCCACGGGGCTCTGGGGCGGCCCCCCCTCGGCCCCCAGCCGGGACCAGCCAGTGCATGGCCGGGGAGTCCCCGCCCCGCGTCCTACCTGCGCCGGCCCCGCTGCAGCCATCGCCGGGCTCGGCTTCGGCTCCGGCCCCGGCCGCTTCCTCCGGGCAGCGACTTCCCGCCCCGCAGCTGGTGCTTCCCCGGGGTCGCCTCTCGCCCGCTCCCCATCCTGGGGCTGCAGCCGGGACCCGCCCTGATCCAGCCCCGCTGTGCTCCCCGCTCGGCCCCGCGCCTGCGCCGCCAGCTCCAGCAGCCGGGGGAGGCCCCGGACGCCTGGGTCCCGAGTCCGGCCGCCGGGGGCGCTCGCGGCACCTGGAGCCCGGGCGGAGGGGACCATTACAGGGCAGCCCGGTCCCTGCCCCTGGGCTGTGAGTGGGGCACCGCTGCGCCGTGGGGAGCTGGGATCCCGGACTCCTGGGTTCTCTCCCGGCTCTGGGAGGGGAGCGGGGACTAGTGGGTACAAGAGGGCCCGGCCAGGCTGTGTAGTGTGTGTGTGTGTGTCACAGTAAGACAAGGGTCTGGTTGTGTGGTATGTTTGTTGCTAAGCTGTGTGATGTTGGTGCGTTTGTTACAAGGGATCACAGCCTAGGGTGTGATCCCCTGTAATGTGTGTGTTAGCGGAGGGCTGTGTGTGTATGAGTGTTACAGGAGCTCATACATGGCTGTACTGTGTGTGTGTGTGTTTCAGAAGCTCACACCCATGGCGAGGGCAGGTGCCCCATTCAGATGCCGTGATCTGGCCTCGGTGCTGGCACTGAATCAGCTGCCCCTGCCCCTGTCCCCCGCTCATTGTGCCGGGCCCTGCACACCTCAGGTGTCACCTCCGCTGGCCACAACAAATGGTCCAATGTCAAGCGCATCAAGGGCCTCCGGGTCGCCAAGCGCAGCCGTCTCTTCCAAAAGCTCACCGTGCTGCTGCGCTTCGCTGGGAAAGGTACCGGGTGGGGGGCGGGAGAGGTGGATTCTGTGTGTGATACAGCCCCAGCCAGAGGGAGCGCTACAGAGCCCTGCCAGCTTCCCAGTGCCCCACAGGCCCGGTCACAGCCAGAGGGGGCACTACAGAGTTTTCCCAGCCTCCCAGTACCTGACAGGGCCCAGGCAGAGGTTGTGGCTACAGAGCCCTGACAGCCCAGCCTTGACCACTAGCACTGACCCTGTTGCCCCTAACCCCAGCACCTCCTAACCTCTGTTAACCCAAGGCCAGCACCGTCCCTGCCTTCTGGAGCAGAGGATGCTGGTCTGTGGGGTAGCATTTCCCCTTCTCATCCTTTCTCCACTGGACTTTTCCTCTGTCTCACAGCACCTCCCCTAAGGTGGCTGAGTCTCTGCCCATCTCTCACAGCTGTTTCGCATAAAAGGCGGGCAAGCCCAGTCTCTGTGGTTCAGGCGGCCTAAGATAACAGCTAAAGGTGGCTGAAGATGGGAAGGGCCTGGAACAGGTAGTTTGGGGCAGGGAGGGTCACCAGGGGCCTCAGGACTCCTGGGTCCCATCGCCAGCTCTGCAAGAGGGATAGTGGGTTATAGCAGGGAGGCTCAGAATCAGGATACCTTGATTCTATCCCTGGCTCTGGGAGGGGTGTGGATCATGGTGGGTTAAAGCAGTGGGGGCTCGGAGTCAGGACTGCCCTCGAGTGGGGTCCCAGCTGTCTCTCCCTTGTGACGCTCCATCTCTGTCCATTGCAGCAGGGGGACCCAACCTTGATTTCAACACCAACCTGGCCAACATCATTGAGCAGTGCTGGAGCATGGTCTTGACCAAATCATCCACTGAGGTGGCCATCAAGGGAGGGGCACGTAGCTGCGTCCTGCCAGCCGGGCTCATGGGCTGCAGCCTTTTTGAATCTTCTGGGTCAGGCCAGACCATGCTGAGGTGTTACAGGGAAAAATTAAAACCATTATAAACCTATATGTTCCCCCTTCAGGGGAGGCAGGATCTTGTACCTGATATCAGGGTCTATCGCTGTGGAAGCAGCTGGAGATGTTGGTCCCACCCTCCTTCCAGTGTGGTGCAAGGAAAGAAGACAGAGACAGAAAGACGTTCCAGAACAAAAGGTAAGTGTATGAAGGCTGGTTTACAATAACTGGGATAACGGGGAAAAGGAAACAACTGTCATAAAACCTGAGCAAACTGGGATGACAAAACAAGGAGCTTGAAGCAAACTAAAATAATAAAATCCCCTAAAGTCCTGCTGCTGTCGGATGCTTTCTCTGGCCAGGCCGGGCGTTGGAGTGCGTCAGAGCCAGGACCTACTACCCCCAGACCTGGTGATGGCCTGAAGGGAGGAACGCTGGATCGTGCTGAAGGTGGACTCGGAGCCAATGGCAGGAGTACGGCCAGGAACCCTGGATGCGGCAGGTACGTCGATGGTATGGATGAGGATGAGCTGTCTTTCAGGATTCGCTGACTTGTGATCTGAGGGGCTGGACAGTCACATCCCAGCAGGGCTGGTGAGTGTGGCTGGGAGGCAGGGCGAGGGGAGGGGGTCTCTGGAGGGTCGGGGGGGGTGCTGGGCTGTTAGGGGGAGGGAGGATCTGTGTGTGGCTGGGGCACTAGGGAGTGCGGGTTTGGAGGGGGTGCTGGGCAGTTGTGGGGCTGTGGGCAGAGGGGCACTGGACAGGGGGTGCTGTGCATTTGTGGCAGAGTCTGGGGAGCGCTGGACATAGTGGGTCTGGGGGGCTCTGGCCATAGGGAACCAAGGGGGGTGTTGGATGGGAGGGGCTGTGTGGCGCAGCATGGCCTGCCCCAAGGGGAAGGGGAACGCTGGCAGCACATGGCCAGGTGGGCCACTGTGTGTCTGGCAACTGCTGGTTTGTAAATAGTGCCCTCGCTCTGGGGACTGACCTCCCCATGCCATGCTCCATTGCCCCCACGGGGGCCCACAAATATGTTTTGCGCTGGGCCCACAAAAGGTTAATCCGGCACTGGATGGGCTCAGTGGTACCCCAGTGCATCAGGTGGCCCCCAGAGGGTGGGGTCGCAACCCGACACAATGACATCAAAAGTAGGTCTAGAAATCAAAACTCCTTTGTCGCTTGAGTACCTGCCCTGAACCCTGCAGCACACCACCAGAACCTTTCCATTGTGCCCTTCCCCGCCCTCCCACTATCAGCACTTACCAGTCACCTCTCACATCATCCATTTTAGTCGCCCAGAGGGTGTTAACTCAGATATGAAGCAATTAGCTTAACACAACTCAAAATGACTTTTTTGTACATATCGGTTGGAGCTGGCATGGAGGTGATTTCTCTAGCTCAGCTTCACCGTTACAGTGACTGGTTCTAGAGACAGCGAGGGAGTTCATTCAGGTGATTCACTCAAGGTGTGTGACAGCCATAAGCCTGTTCTCTGGGGGGATTTCTCAGCGGTTGCCCAAGACCGGACTTTAAAATCCAGAGTCAATAGGGTGCTTGACAGCAACCAGACTCAAGTTGTTACCCAGCAGGGGGTGCTCTCCCTGACCAAGCAATGCTGGTCCCACTCACGGCTCCTTCATGCAGACATTGTGACTTCAGGAAGCGACGTGCTGAACAACATGGGACATTTTATACCATTTCTGTTGGATCGTGCGGCCTGGTCACTCTGCTGGGCAAAGCTGGCCTGGGCCAAATCAGGAAATGACCCGTACTCATGGCAGAATCTTGGAACATTCAACCAGAATAGGAGTTCTGTCCATTCTCATTGTCCAACGAGACAATGAGGCTATCGCAATCCAGGGTGTAATCCCGAACATTGGGGGAGGGACAGTGTCAGCATCTGCCCTGTAACCTGGGGTGCCCAGTAATGCTTTGCTGCGTCGCTCCCAACCCGGACCACTCACAAACAGCCTCCAGCTTCCGGTCTTACCCCGAGTGTCTGTGTATAGCTCAGCTCACACTCTGGCTTTCACAGCCTGGGTTATTACTGCAGTGTGATCCCAATA